TGCCTTTTTTTTTGGGGGGGGGGGACACAGGGGAATACTGCTATAGACTAAATTCTTTCCAAGTTTATTTGTTGGGGGCCTAAATCCCAATGTGACCATTTTTGGAGATGGGACCTTAAAGGCGGTTATTAAGATTAAATGAGTTCAGAAGGGTGAGGCCCTAATCCAGCAGGATTGGCATCCTCAGAAGATGAAGAGAGACCAGGGATGTGTGCGCACAGGGACAGGGCATGTGAGGACACAGCAAGAAGGCTGCCGTCTGCAAGCCTAGGACAGAGGCCTACAGAGAAGCCTGGCCTGCCAGCTCCGAAACCCTGGGTTTCCAGGCTCCCCGACTTTGAGAAAGGTGTCTGTTGCTGGGAGCACCTAGTCCATGGTTTGCAGTTCTGGCAGCCTGAGTGGGCTAACACAGGAGTTGCAAAAAAAATTTTAAAAGCACTTTACTGCCACAGTATAGCAAAGATTGTTTCATACAAGGGTAGTACCGTGTTGGGGTGCAGTAGGTGAGACCACTGCCTGTGATGCTGGCATCCCATGTGAGTGACGGCTCGAGTCCCAGTGACTGTTCCACATCTGTTCCAGCTCCCTGCTAACGGGCCTGGGCAAGCATGGGAAGATGGCTGAGCACCCAGACCCCTGCCATGAGACCTGGGTGGAGTTCCAGGCTCCTGCTGTCAGTCTGGCGCAGTCCCGTAGCCATCTGGGGTGTGAACCCGTAGATGGAAGATTTTTGTCTCTCCCTCTCACTCTTTCAAGTCAATAAAGAAATTTAAAAAATCCTTTAGATGCTCAATCTAGGAGAAACTTTGGGCAAGGTTCAGTCTATTTGTGTGGTCTTTGTGTCTACCCATAGAGAGCCTTTGAGTTGTAATGAAAAAAATAATTATACAGTGGAGAAATCACAGAACGCCTTGATCAGTGATCAAAGTTAACATCACCAATGGAAAACAGGTGGACGTCCTGATACCCCAGGGTAGAGACAATGCTATTCCTAACATTTGGCCCAGATCATTGGTGAAGGACTGGAGGAGGCCCTGGCTAACAGGCAGCAAGGCACTAGATCCTGCCAACAGCCACACGACTGAGCCTGCAAGTAGATCATCATCCAGCTGACATCATAGGTGTATTTTCAATTGCTAAGTATCAGAGTAATTTTTTTTTGACAGGCAGAGTGGACAGTGAGAGAGAGAGAGAGAGAGAGAGAGAGAAAGGTCTTCCTTTTACTGTTGGTTCACTCCCCAGTGGCTGCTGCAGCTGGTGCACCGCGCTGATCCGAAGCCAGGAGCCAGGTGCTTTTCCTGGTCTCCCATGGGGTGCAGGGCCCAAGCACCTGGGCCATCCTCCACTGCCCTCCCGGGCCACAGCAGAGAGCTGGCCTGGAAGAGGAGCAACCAGGACAGAATCCGGCGCCCCGACTGGGACTAGAACCTGGTGTGCTGGCGCCTCAGGTGGAGGATTAGCCTAGTGAGCCAAGGCGCCGACCCAGAGTAATTTTTGATGCAGCATGTTGGTTAATGAAGTTGGCGTATGGACTGGAAATCGTATAGAAGTACTATATCAATACTAAATTTACTGAAATTGGTTACTTTAATCTGGATATAAAAGACAGATAATATCTTTATTCTTAGGAGATTTGCATTGTACAGTGATGTATTCGGGAAAGAGATGTGATGATGTAACAGTCTCACATATCAAATTTTATATGTTTAGAACGTATTAAATTTTAGATACATACACCTAAGAGCATGTGTGTGTGTGTGTGTGTGTGTATAAATGTTAATATAGAGAGGGGATGGGGGTTGGCACCGAGGCACAGGTTAATCCTCTGCCTGCAGTGCTGGAATCCCATAAGGGTGCCAGCCGGTTCTAGTCCTGGCTGCTCCACTTCCCATCCAGCTCTCTGCTGTGGCCTGGGAAAGCAGTGGAAAATGGCCCAAGTGTTTGGGCCCCTGCACCCATGTGGGAGATTGGGAAGAAGCACCTGGCTCTTGGCTTTGGATTGGCGCAGCTCTGGCTGTTGTGGCCATTTGGGGAGTGAACCAACGGAAGGAAGACCTTTCTGTCTCTCCCTCTCACTGTCTGTAATTCTACCTCTCAAATGAATAAATAAAATCTTTAAAAAAAAAAAATAGACGGGAGAGGGGAGAGGGGAGAGGAAGAGAGGGATCACGGCACAAATGCTAAATTCAATGGAGTAAATGTTATCAATGTGAAGTTGATCTAGGTAAGGGCTATGGGTGTTCTCTGTTGGATTCATATACATTTTCTGTATGTTTGCAATTATTTCTCAGTAGTGTTTAATAGGTATGAGATCACTGTGGAATCAAAAACTGATTTCCTGCCTTTAGGTTATCACTGTAAAAAATGTCTCACTTCTCTCTCTCCCTTTAGGTACACTGAATAAGATTTATTTTTATTGCCTCCTAACCCCATAAGAGAAACAAAGCTCTTGTCTCTGATTCTCCTGTATCTTATCTATGCCTTTTCTTCATTTCTAAGGGGTGTGTGTATGTGTGTGTTGTAATTTCACTCTAAGAGCTAATATTCTTAGCAACTTTCCAAGAGTTATCCTTTCCAGACTTTTCTTTAAATAACACCTTTACCTAGGCATAATTGTTTTTCCACAAAATTCAGCTTGTATAAGTGTGAAGTTTATCAGTTATTTTTCTTTTAGTTGAGTACCAAGTTGTGCAACCATCACCACCATGTAGTCTAATATTTTCTTCATCTTCCTCCAACAAACCCTCATCTGCACCTACAGTCACTGCCCACTGCCTGCTCTCTCTAGCCATCAAATCCACTCATTTTCCTTCTGTCTTTACAGACTTATCTACCATGTATGTTTTATATATAAATACAATTCTGTACCATGTCAACTTCTTTGTGTGGCTTTTTCTCACAGCATAACATGTTCAGGGTTCATCCATATTAAAGCAGGTATCAGTACCTTTTTATTACGATATTTCATTGTATGAATAGAACAAGTGACTTTTTACATTCATCAGTTGATATACATTGGGATGGGTTCCACATTTTGGCTATTGTGAATAATACCACTATCAACATTCCCATACAATTTTTTTTGTGCCATACAATTTTTATACCTAGGAGTGCAATGGCTGTGTCATAAGGTAACGTTCTCGCAGTATTCTGAAGTTAATACCAAGTTTTTATATATGCTTTTAGGCTATGTTGTTGTTCTGGAAGTTCCTTCACACATCTATCACTGTGGTTCTATGTATGCTCGCTTATCTGAATTTCTCTGCTTGAATTTCTAGTACCCACATTTCATAATGAGTTAAAATGGTAATCAGCAAAGACACTGAAAGACCAAGTCAAGTTCTTCCTCACCATTAGATCCCACCCTGCCTTTCTCTTCCAACGAGCAATGATTTGGATTCCATGCCAACCATCCTGGTATTTAACATTTCCTACCTAGGATCACATTTTAAATATTTCAAGTACTTAACTTCTGTTGCTCACAAATCCATAACCTACTGGAAGGCAAGGCAATGTCTTTTAATATGTTTCACTGCGGAACTGAGACACTTCAAGATTAAAGCAGGGACTATCTCCTGTACATACTCCTATCTAGTCACTCACAGTATGTCAACTGAGTATTAAGCATGTAGAAGATGTGTATTTAATGCTAAATAAATGGGCCTCCAGGTCATAACATTTCACCTGAAAAATTATTCATGATTTCATGCTTTGAAGCATGAATCCCACTTCACAAAAATAATTAAAGCAACGAGCATGTCCATTGTCCCTTGTTACCAAGAAAGATTTCCTTTTCTCTACAAAGATGCTGCCAATACACTTGATATCAATCTTCTAGTGTGCTTGGGGGGTATTAGAGAAAAAATACTAGAGAGAAAAATAGGAAAGCCATTTCCTTCTTTACTCCTGCCCCGTAACAACTTTGCTGCAACACATTTGCCTCCTCCTTTCTCAACTTTCCTTTCTAGTACCATCTCTTATCAACACATTCAGTCTTTCTGGCTACTCAAAGATCAGAGGAGAGAGCTTCCTCTGATGATGCCTGGAGACCAAGAGACATTGACTTTAGCACTAACACACCAAAGACAGATGGGCTCTCACAGAATTCTTTTCCTACCTTTTTCAAATGAAAGTATCTCACTTTTACCTCTAGGAATGGAACCACTGCAACATAAATAAAAAGCTTATCTGAATAATTCTTTCTACAGCATAGTTGGGGCATGGTTAATAATGATTATGAGTATTCAAGACTTAAAACACCTGGGTCATTGTGTTTTAAAGAACTAGAACACTCATCCTCAGGACCACAGCTGCTCGGGGGTATAATTTCAATCTCTTTTGAAAATTTGGAAAGTATTCTAGAATTCTCAGAGCATATAATTAGTCTACTACATATGCAAAGGGTGTTGGGGAACAGAGCATTGTGGAGAATAGAATTCCAGACCACAGGATTAACATTTTCAAACATGATACCCATTCTATATTCCTTACTTTTCATGAAGATATAGATAAAAGAAAATCAGAAAATGCAACTGAGTCTGTAAGATTGTCACAAAACACACCAAACACCAGAGTAAGGGAAAGGGTTCATTGGGGAAAACTCAGCAGGCCGGAGGGAAGGGGTGAGGAAGGAAAAGAGAGAGAGAGAGAGAAGAGAGTGAGCAAGCTGAGAGGAGAGAGGAGGGGGGGATAAGAGAGGACGAGAGAAGAGAGAGCACAGAGAGAGTGAGAGAGCGAGCAAGAGAGAGCCACGTATTCAGGAACAGGTCCTTTTAAAACTCTGCCGGAGGGCGGGCAAAGAAGTAGGAGCAGCGAATCCCATTAGGATGGGGGTGGAGCTTGACACCGGTGGTTGGGCCATGTGGCCACCTGGCTTCCACTGATGGCGGTGGGGGCTAGAGCCAAGGATGGTGTCAGGGTGTAGATCGCGCCATAGATAAGACTGCACCATTTTCCTAACAGAGTCTGCTCTTAACAATCACCACCATTAAAAGTCATACCTTTCTCCTGCAGGATCATCCAGTTCTCCTCAGTATGGGATGTCGTTCTGTCTGTAAGATAAAAAGAAGTGACCATTGGTTTGTTCACTGAAACTACCTACAGTGAAAAAATGCAGGAGTGTCTTCTTTTGATTTCACGATTTACAGTTAGAGCGATTCTTCACATTCACCTTTGCTAGCATCCTTCTGCTGGACTCCCTTGCTGCTCTTGAGAACTGCAGGACATCAAGCCAAGCCTCATCTGCACATTCCAAAGTCTAACAGAAAACCGACTGTTTTGACAGATTCTTCCCCATAGGATGATCATTTAGACAGAAATTGTTCCCCTGCTGTCCCGTCCAGGAATGTGGAACACAAAGACTATTCAGAGAGTGAACTTTGTCTCAGTCTGCCCTGAACTTGCTTTGTTCTTTTCGCAAATGCACCTGTTTACATTTCCGTAATTTTTTTCGTGTCTTTAAGGGAACTATGAGGATGCAACAATGTGTTATGACTGGATTGGAATTCTTTATCATTCCAAAACGTCTTGTTCCCTAGGGGGTAGTGTTTGTTGAAGAAGGTAACGTGCCATCAGAGTGCCTGGTCACCAGCACTGCTCTCCATTCTAGTTTCTAATGCAGAGCCTGGGAGGAAGCAAGTGATAGTCCAAGTATTTGGGTCCGTGCCATCCACCTGAGAGACCCACACTGAGTTCTAGGCTCCCATCTTCAGGCCTTGCTTTAGCTGTTGTGGGCACTTGTGGCTGTTGTGGGCACCTCTAAGAACATGGAGGATACATTTCTGTCTCTCTGCCTTTCAAATAAATGAAACAGAGGGAGGGCACTTGGAACAGCAGCTAAGATGCCTCTTGGGATATCTGCATCCCATATTCAGAGAGCCTAGGTTTGAGTCCCTACTCTGCTTCAGATCCAGCTTCCTGCTATTGTACAGCCTAGGAAGCAGCAGGTGATGACTCCCACCTGTGTGGGAGACCCAAGTGAAGTTCCAGGCTTTTGACGTTGGCCTGGCCCGGTTCTGGTTATTGTATTTAGAGAGTGAACCGGAGGATGGAAGATCTGTCTCTGTCTGCCTCACTCTGTCACTCTGCCTTTCAAATAAATAAAAATAAAAAATTTGAAGAAGGTTTAAAGAGAAGTTATCTGCTATTCAAGAAATCCAATCTCATGTAAATCTGGCTGTTGATGTCATTAAGCAGCTGGAGTATTTAGGTCATCTTTGCAAACTGGTCTGCCTGGCTTGCTCCTGGCATCATTCGACTCTTGGCTGAAATGCCACTTCCTCTCAGAGGCCTGCCTTCACATCACACGTGGTTCTCTTATCCTGCTTCAGCGTTCTTTCTAGCACTTATCACCACCTAATGTAAAAGCATATACGTATTGGTTTATCTGTGATATTTATCTTCCCAAATGGAATCATCCTGAATGAAGGGACTCAATTCACTGCTTGCTGACAATCATTAGAGCCCAGAATACAGTAAATAGTTGCTGAATAAGCAAATAGTGATTTTAGCCTCATTAATAAAATACAAAGGTAACCTAAATTTTACAAATTGCTATTTGCCATAAGAAGCATTTCTCTTGAATATTTAATTAAAAACAAATATTGGCTACTGGAAGTAGATAGGCTGTGACACACAGATTGAGTTCCTCACACAGTAAAGCAGAATGTTGAATTCGGGACATAAGATAGTCATATGTGATCAACAGAGAAGTCAGGAACCATTTTCCAAGTACCACAAGAGTTACAGATAAGGTGTATATACTCTTTGTAGTCAGAGGAACATTTTTTTGAGAACTGGGAAGGCAGGGTGGAATTACATCATGAAGGTGTAAAAATCAGCTAAGTGCACACAGAAACACCTTACTTCTGATACCAACTACGAGTTCGAAGCATTCCCCCAAACCACCCTTAGTTTTGATAACTCGCAAGAAGACCCACAGAACTGAATGAAAGTGTTATAGAAGGGAACTTAGAAAAGTTCACAGAAAATGAAATTCAAGGATAAAAGTGTTATTCGCCACACAGCATCAGTGTGAGACAAAGCAGTGTGGAACGTTGTGCACCCGGTCAATCCAGGAGCTCTAACACCCCAAGTCTGTATTGGGGCTCCGTCATATCAGAGCAGCTGACCGCCCCAGGTGACTGGTCTCAACCGCCAGCCCCTCCGCCCGACATCACAGTGTTACTAAAGAGCTGAGCCAAGATTCTCAGGCGACCAGAGATGCTCCCCTCAGGTGTGATACTCCACGACCCACAGCTACCCCATCGTCTCTGTAGGCTAGAAGTTCTCCACGGCAAAGGAAGGGAGAATGGAGATAAACCTATGATTGCATACTAATGAGTCATTCAACAATGGGTGCTCAACAAGTTTGTGGCTACTCTGTACCAAGAAAAGAATGACCCAGTTTTGCAGATAATTTTTATAAAAATATATGCTTTAGAGAAGCGGAGGTATTTAGGATGAGCTTGTATGAGGGAATCAAATTGATTGGATGCTTACTTTTTCAAAATAGTTTCTTCAGTTCTAATCTACTGTCTATAAAATTTATTTTTTAAAAATATTTATTTATTTGAAAGTCAGATTTACAGAGAGAGGAGAAGCAGAGAGAGAGAGAGAGAGAGAGAGAGAGAGAGGTCTTCCATCTGATGGTTTACTCTCCAGTTGGCTGCAATGGCCGGAGCTGTGCTGATCCAAAGCCAGGAGCCAGGAGCCTCTTCCGGGTCTCCCACGTGGGTGCAGGGGCCCAAGGACTACTTCTTACTGCTTTCCCAGGCCATAGCAGAGAGCTGGATCGGAAGTGGAGCAGCTGGGTCTTGAACCGGCACCCATATGGGATGCCGGCGCTTTAGGCCAGGGCGTTAACCCACTGTGCCATAGTGCGGGCCCCTATAACATTTAGTAACCAAAAATACCCCACTAATTACTTTCTATAATTCAATGTGATGTTTTATCAGATAAATCAAGCAATAAAACACAAAAAAAGTTCTGTGGCCACTATCTATTTTGCAGTTAACAGACCTCTATGAAATTGAATGACTTGAAACTACCATCTTTTTTTCTAATTTCTTTTTGCCATTTATTTATTTGAAAGGCCTAAATACAGAGACAGAAGGAGAAAGGTGGTGGGGCAGGGGGGTGGGGGAGAGGGAGAGATTTTTCATCTGTTGGTTTACTCCCCAAATGGCCACAATGGCCTGGGCTGGGCCAGGCTGAAGCCGGGAGCTTCTTCAGGGTCTCCCACATGGGTGCAGGGGCCCAAGGACTTGCTCCATCTTTAGCTGCTTTTCTAGGCCTATCAGCAGGGAGCTGAATTTGAAGTGGAGCAGTGGACTCAAACTGGCGTCCATATGGGAAGTGGGCACTGCAGATGGAGGCTTAACCCTTACCCCACAGTGCTGGCCCCTGAAACTACCATCTCATTTGTTCATGATTTTGCTGGTCTACACATAGTGGTGGGGGTGGGAGGCACAGGTAGATGGTTCCGCTGCCACTGTAGCCTGGCAGGCAGAGGAGTCCCCGACTCAGCAGGCTTTCCCACTGTCACAGGAATGCCCTAGCCACCATGGCTCCATGTGGCCCCCAGCTGCTCCTGTGTTGGAAGCTGAAATCCCCAAATTCATATGTTCATGCTGTTTGGAGGTGAAGCTTCTAAGAGATCACTAGGTTTCAGCGAGGTCATGGAGGGTGGGGCTCCCCTGAGGACATTAGCGAGTTCGTTAAGAGGAGGAAGAAGGACCTGAGCCAGCACACGGACTCTGGCTCCTCGGGTGATACCTTCCATGTCAGGCTTTTGGAAGTCCCAGCCTCCCGACTGTGAGCCAAATAGACTTCTATTTACAAATTACACAGTCTTACATCATTTGTTACAGCAACGGGAAATGGACTACGACACTATATGAAAGACTAAATAAAAAATTCTCTACTAGTTAGGAGCAAACCAGAAAATGCCTCTACAAATGGACGTCATTCAAATGTACCTGAAAACATTCTTACATGGGAACCTAGAGAAGCTAAACCAATACTGTCTTCAACTTATGAAGAAGCATAAAGCTCAGCTTTCCCAAGGGGAACTAGGGCCCAGCTATCAACTTACAAAGCCATATTGGAGATAAGAACAAAGCAGTTGGCCGGCGCCATGGCTCACAAGGCTAATCCTCCATCTGTGGCGCAGGCACCCTGGGTTCTAGTCCTGGTTGGGGCGCCAGAGTCTGTCCCGGTTGTTCCTCTTCCAGTCCAGCTCTCTGCTGTGGCCCAGGAAAGCAGTGGAGTTTGGCCCAAGTGCTTGGGCCCTGCACCTGCATGGGAGACCAGGAGGATGCACCTGGCTCCTGGCTTCAGATTGGTGCAGCTCACCAGTGGTAGTGGCCATTTGGGGAGTGAACCAACGGAAGGAAGACGTTTCTCTCTCTCTCTCTCTCACTGTCTAACTCTGCCTGTCAAAAATAATAATTAAAAAAAGGCAGTTAGAATTAGGATTTGATTCTTTTTATCCATTATAAACTTAATTTTGTTTGAAAGACAGCTCCCAATTGATGGGTCACTTCCCAAATGCCTGTAAAGGCTGGGGCTGGAAAAAGGCCCATCCAGGTCTCTGACATCGGCGGCAGGGACCCAAGTCCTTTAGCCATCATCTGCTGCCTTCCAGGATACATTAGCAGGAAGCAGCAATCGGGAGTGGAGCTAAGACTGCAACCCAGCATGGGCTGCAGATGTCCAATGGAGCTTAAACACAGAACCAAATTCTGTCTCTGTGATACTTTTTAATGGACACAGATTCTTTGCAGGAGCTCCTGAAAGAGGTGGATCCTGTTCCCCCTTCTCTTGAATCTGGACTGAGGATCGCTTTGGCCAACCAAATGTGTTGAAAGTGAAGTTTTGAAACCTCTCTGGCTTGGCTTCAAAAATCCTGTCACTTCTGTGCTCACCCTCTTGGTCGTTGCTCCGTGTGAACAATTCCGATCTGCTCTGCTGCGGAGGCCACACAGGAGAGAACAGAGGCACCATAGCTAACATCTGCCAATCACTGGTAAACTGAAGGAGGCTGTCGTAGACCATGCAGCTCCTGGCAAGTCCCCAGATGACTGCAGTGGCATGAGCGATGCCACGCACTTCCACAGCAGAGCTCAGGAGGCGGCCCTGGACTACTCAGCACCTGCGGGGAGGCTGCTTCCATCGAAACAAGCCACAGAAAGAAATCCCTTCCGCTGCTGGAAAGGCTTCTGGGGAGCAACTGGAGCCACCTTTAGAGGGAAGAACAAATCAATATACTGCAGCCAGGCTGCCGGAGGAGTTTAATTCTGAACACTGGAGCATTGATTTGAGGATGAAACGCACGCGTGCTCCGGCGCAGGTGGACACCCAGTGGAGCTGGGTGCTGGGTTGCACTGTGGCTTTTACCCAAGCTTGTGAACTGTGATTTCTCCCAGGGATCTGGGGCTTGCCTTTCCGGGGAAGTAAACATCAGTC